TATCAGCCACGCAGTACCGTTAACCGCTGATCAAAAACATGCAGGAACCAAAACGCAACGAGTTAATAAAATTTGAACCACAAGGCAAAGCAATCACCACATCTGCAGGCGAACGACATGTACACCACACATACCAACCTGGACGGCCGCTGACCATCTAAACACCTCTTACTCCTCTCCCAAAAAGAACCGTGCAGTGGCACTTCATCGACCTCAGCCCTCCTGACTACGAACTGGACTCAAGACCCAAGGACCAAACCTCCTCTTCTACGAATGCCTAACACAACCCAACAATCACACTGGGAGTCCCCAAACACAGCCACGGCCCTGACAACGCCCAGCAGGAACAAATATCAATCCCGAACTCAACCAGAACATAAGTACAACCATTTGAAACAATGAGAAACAAATAAAGCAATTTTATTCACCGTCAACGCGCAACAAAAACAACTTCAATAGTCTTATAAGCAAGAAAAACCGTGATTATGTTTGAAAACAATATAACAATTCGCCAGATAAGGACATATCCATTAAACCAAAACAAAACCCCTTAAAGCTACTTCTTCTTGCCTGCAGCAGCTCCAGCCTTTTGGGCAGCCTTAGTTACTTTACCAGCAGCCTCCGTCTTATCTACAGCCTTAATAACACCAACAGCCACGGTCTGCCTCATATCACGCACCGCAAAACGCCCTAATGGAGCATACTCGGTAAAGGTCTCGACGCATAAGGGCTTCGTTGGAATTAACTCAATAATACCAGCATCCCCGGACTTGAGGAACTGCAATCAAAAGTTGTACTGGTAGATACAATACAGGCCACAACTTTGAAGCCCATAGAAAAACTTACTTTCGGATTATCCTCGACTTTTTTGCCAGATCGCCTATCCACCTTTTCTTTGAGTTCAGCAAACTTGCATGCAATGTGTGCTGTGTGACAGTCCAACACTGGTGTGTACCCAGCTTGGATCTGGCCGGGATGATTCATGATAATAACCTGAAACCAGTCGTCTGAAAGGTATATCCCTAAAACGCGGTGTCCGGCTGGATCTATTTATAATCCACCTTTGCAAAGAAACACAAAAAGCTGTATCACCACAGATACCGAGCGGGAGTACTAATCTTGGAAAAAAATGGCGAAAAACGAGAAGTGATAAGAACAAAAACACACCTGAGCAGTGAAACTCTTCGCTTCTTTGGCAGGATCATTCTTCGAGTCAGAACAAACTGAGCCACGACGAATATCCTTGACTGAGACATTCTTTACGTTGAAACCAACGTTATCACCGGGTAAAGCCTCTTGCAAAGCTTCGTGGTGCATTTCCACAGATTTAACTTCAGTCGTCAGAGCCTGTGGAGCAAAAGTAACAACCATACCTGGTTTCAGAATACCGGTTTCAACACGACCGACTGGAACCGTACCAATACCTGAGAACATTTGTTGTAAACTGAATCATTTAGCGATCACAAGCTAAATAAAATTAGCAAAGCACTCTCATCCAGCAGACATAAAGTACTCAAGTGTAAAGGTGCACAAGAATGAAAAACTCAGCAGTGATACCTCCGATTTTATAAACATCCTGTAACGGCAGACGAAGAGGCTTGTCTGTGGGTCGTGATGGAGGAACAATAGAATCAAGAGACTCAAGGAGTGTCTTTCCTGTCACGGTTCCCTCTTTACGTTCCACAGTCCACCCCTTGAACCAAGGCATATTTGCTGATGGCTCCAACATATTGTCACCGTTAAATCCAGAGATCGGGACGAATGCAACTGACTTAGGATTGTAACCAATCTTCTTTATGTAATTTGAAACTTCCGTTGTAACCTACAAAGAAAGAAGAATGCAGGAGCCATCTAAAAACGGTAAAAAGCCTGCTTTTTCTAAACCTTACTTCATTGAAACGGGCTTCAGAATATGGTGGCTCCGTAGAGTCCATCTTGTTGCAAGCAACGATCATTTGTTTTACACCCAAAGTTTGAGCAAGGAGAGCATGCTCACGAGTCTGACCATTCTTTGAGATACCAGCTTCAAACTCACCAGTACCACAAGCAACAACCAAAACTGCGCAGTCGGCCTGCGAAGTGCCTAAACCGTTCACAGATCAATCCATCACCGATATTTACTCCAACAAACACACTACAATGTAACTCAAGCAAAATTTCTAGGTCGGACTCTGCTATTCCAATCATTCATCTATAAACTTACCAGTGATCATGTTCTTGATGAAGTCTCGATGTCCAGGAGCGTCGATAATGGTTACATAGTACTTAGCTGTTTCAAACTTCCATAAAGCAATGTCGATGGTGATACCACGTTCACGCTCAGCCTTCAACTTATCCAACACCCAAGCATATTTGAAGGAACCCTAAGCAGAGAGGCTGTCAAATTAATAATGTAACAAAAACCCTAGAGAGTGTAAAAATGATTTGAGCACCAACTTTTCCCATTTCCTGTGCTTCCTTCTCGAATTTCTCAATTGTACGCTTGTCGATACCGCCACATTTGTAAATAAGATGACCAGTGGTGGTTGACTTGCCTGAATCTACATGGCCAATAACTACAATATTAATATGCGTCTTCTCCTTACCCATCGGGACAGTTTACTCAAGTCGGACGAATTGATCTGACAACTGGAAAGTAATTTCATTATAACAACAACGTTTGAGCTCGACAAAATAAGAATCAATTATTCGCGCAACTTCTACTGCTAACGACTCATAACTCCACACGTTCTTAACAAACATAAAAACAAAAAGGAAAAAAAAACAATCAAGTAATAAGCATAAACTACATTCCAGGAACACAGGAACACTATGGCAGAACAGTTACGACTGACGTGCCAAAACTGCCTTTAAAGTGCAAAAAAAAAAAAAAAAAAAA